TCTGCCTCACCAGTGCTGGTATTAAAAGCTTGCACCACCACCGCCCAGCCTGAAATGAAATTTACTAGAGGACTAAAACAGAACTAGAGGAATTCAACAGAAAATGTCATCAAGTAGAAGAAAGAAAACTGGCAAACGCCAGAAAGAATTCCAAGGGCTGGGAGGCCAGCTCTTAGCAAATACTAGGGGTCGCGGTGTTTACTGCCCAGCACCTACCACATCCTGTGCTTTCTTTTCTTACTGCAGTAAGAAAACACAACAACAAAAAGATTCAAGGGAAGAGCTTCAAAATGCTTGAGTTGCAGTTCAAGGCAGCAGGAGCTGAAGCAGTTAGCTACATTCCAGACAGACAGGAGAGAGAGGTGGATCAATGTACGCAGAGAAGGCTGAGCTTGCTCGCTTTACTTTTACAGCCCAGATCCCAGAGTCCTCCTTCTCATGCCAATTAAAGTAATCAGGGAAATCCCTCACAGGCATGTCCAGAAGCCCATCTCTCAGGTGATTGTAGATCTTGCTAAATTTAAAACACTAACCATTGCACCCTTCTAAAAGCAAAACAAAGCAAAAAAAAAAAAAACCCAAAAAACAGGTAATTAAAAACTATGTACTCAAAAGAATAAAAAAAGTGTGAAGAAAATATAAAAACAAGAAACCACCAAGTGCACCAATAGACTACATAATGTTTCAAGAAAAAAAGGACCAGAAGTTTGCTTGAAAAGACTTCCCAAACCTGAGAGGAATACACAGAAATTCAAGTTCAAAGGACCCCAAAAAGTCTAGAAGTTGCCCAGCATCTATAAAGGTCCAGAATATAGAAGACCATACTGTGATACATCAAAATTGTTGAAAATCAAAGAACACAGAGAATATTAAAGCCACCAAGAAAATCAACTAATCACATACAAGGAAACTCCCGTTATATTTTTCACAGATTTCTTAAATCTTACATACTAGATGGAAATAAATACATTCTAAGTGCTGAAGAGAAAACTGCAAGCCAATATATCCAGCCAAACTTCCCTTCAAAATGGAAGGAGAAGCTGGGCAGTAATGGCACATGCCTTCAGTGCTTGGGAAGAGGCAAATTGAGTTTGAGGCAAGCCTGGTCTACAAAGCGAGTTCCAGGGCAGCAGAACTGTTACACAGAGAAACCCTGTCTTGAAAAAAAGACAAACAAAACTGGCAGGAGAGATGGCTCAGTGGATAAGAGCACTAGCTGCTCTGCCAGAGGTCCTGAGTTCAATTCCCAGCAACCACATGGTGGCTCACAACGATCCATAATGAGATCCAGCCACCATGGAAAGAAAACAGAAATCAATGACAGTACAAAAATCAGAAAAATGTATACATATATGGTAATAAAACTGTATTCTAAAATGAACAATCAGTCAAAGAAAAAATTATCAGAAAAAATTAGGGAAATTAAGAATGTTGAGGCAAATGAAAATACTGGAGACTGAATGAAACATGATATTCAGCAAAATTAGTACTGAAGATAATTATATTATTAACTACATATGGTTTTTGTTTGCTTGTTTTAAAAGCCAGCTCTGGGACTGGACAGATGGCTCAGCAGTTAACAGACATACTGTGCACACGTGTGTGTACGCACACGCACGCAAATTTTTTAATCTTTAAAAAAAAGAGGGTGGGAGGAAATCAGGCTTAGTAACATACATCTTCAATAACCCCAGTACTGAGAAAATAGAGGCAGGAAGGAATATCTATCTACAAGTTGAGGGCCAGCATAGCAAATTCCAGGATAACCTAAAATATGAGAAATATGCAAAAAACTTAATCCAAGGTTATCAGAAGAAAAAAAGTATAGCAGAAATAAATAAAATTTAGTGAAGAGAATACAAGAAACAACAAAATCAGAAGCTAGGAATGTATAGTGATATTTATCTGTCTTTTAATAAATAAAGCTTACTTGATGATCAGAATGCAAAGCTAAGCCACTAGAGGCCAGGGAGTGGTGGCCTTTAATCCCAGGACTCCAGAGACAGAGGTAGAGAGATCTCCATCTCCGTGAGTTCATGGCTACCCTAGGCTACACAAAATCGATCCAGAAACAGATCCAAGTGGTGGTGGCTCACACCTTTAAATCCAGCACTAGGGAGGTGGAGACAGGAGTGATATGGCTGGGCGGAGAGAGGAATAAAATGGGGAAGAGACAGGAACTCACTGGAGTGTGGAGTCTGAGGTTTGGTGGAGACACAGTGCAGTCTGGGCAGTCTGAACACTGGTAGAAGTAAAAGGTCTCTCTAGTGGCTTATTGCTCTGCCTCTCTGATCTTCAGCTGTAACCCCAATATCTGTCTCAGGGGTTTTTGTGCTACAGGTATGTACATCAGCTAAGGCTTGTCAAGGATATAGCAAGGTCTTGGGCTAAATCTCTAATATAAAAAAGGAAAATACTTCTAAGTACCAAGTGGAAGAGTTTTGAAAATTTTTATTATTTACTTTTTGATATTATAATTATAGTTTCTCACAGACTTTTTTTTTTACTAACTGTTGTTTATACATCTATTTAATTTTTTAAATTGAATCAAATAGAGGGAGCACACAAGTTATATGCATGTGAGTGCAGATGCCTGCAGTAGCCAAGAGAGCTTTATACTCCCTGGAGCTGAAATACCAAGCAGTTATGATCTGTTCTACATGCCTGCTGGGATCCTAACTCGGGTCCTCTGTGATAGGTATTCTGAAGATCCCAACACTTTGCAAGAACAGTATGCACTCTTTATTGCTGAACAATCCCCTCCAGGTCTTCAGGCTGCAGGCTGAAGTTTTAAAAAGAAAAATATATACATACTACAAACTCTTAACAACATTGGGGGGAAAGGACTTAAAGAGACAGTATAACTGAAATCATTTAGAACTGTACGCCAACAAACTGGATGGACAATCTGAAAGAACAGAATCAATTCCTTAAAACAATCAATTCAATGAGACTAAATGAAATGAGTCATTTCAAAACAAATCTAAGCAAAGCAGAGCTTATGCCTTTGACTCCAGCACTTGGGAGGCAGAGTGGTCTACAGAGCTATCTCTAGGACAACCAAAGCTACAGAGAAACTGTCTTGAAGGAAAAAAAAAAGGAAAGTCAGGCGGTGATGGTGCTCACCTTCAATCCCAGCACTTGGAGAACAGAGGCAGGTGGATCTCTGTGAGTTCGAGGACAGCCTGGTCTACAAGAGCTAGTTCCAGGACAGACTCCAAAGCTACAGAGAAATCCTGTCTCAAAAAACCATAAAAGGAAAAGAAAAGAACATCTAAACAGACATAATAAGATTGAATAATCAAGCCGGGAGGTGGTGGCACACGCCTTTAATCCCAGCACTTGGGAGGTAGAGACAGGTGGATCTCTGTGAGTTTGAGGCCAGCCTGGGCTACAAGAGTGAGTTCCAGGTCAGGCTTGAAAGCTACAAAGAAACCCTGTCTCGAAAAAAGAAGAAGAATAAAAAAAAGATTTACTAATCAAAAAACTTTACAGGGCTGGACAAACTGCTTAGCTGGTATGAGTACTGGCTGTTCTTCTAGAGGACCCGTGCAAGCTTGGCAGCATACAACAGCAGAACTGACACCCTCTTCTAACCTCTGTGAGCACCATACTGCGAGCAAAACCACATAGCCAGGTGGTGGTGGCTCAGGCCTTTAATCCCAGCATCCAGAAGGCAGAGACTGGCAGATATCTGTAAATTCAAGGTCAGCCTGGTCTACAGAGTGAGTTCCAGGAGGGAGAAACCCGGGTCCCAGCAACCACCACATGGTGGCTCACAACCACCTAAAATGAGATCTGGTGCCCTCTTCTGGCCTACAGGCAGGATACTGTATAAATAAATAAATCTTAAAAAAAAAAAAGGTAAAAAGAAAAACCCATACACATAAATTAAAAGCAAAACAAATTTCCAAAAGGGCTGGGGAGATGACTCAGCAGTTAAGAGCATGTACATACTCTTCCAGAGAACCCAAATTTAATTCCCAACATATTGTAGAGACCTGCACTCATGTGCATATTCCCCCATAATTAAAAATAATAAAAATAAAATATAAGAACAACAGCAAAGCCCAGGAAGCCCATGGTTCACTAGAACGTTTCCCTCAAGCAGTCCCAAGCAGTCCAGCATTCTCAAACTCTTTCAAAGCTGGGAATCTACAATCCCAGTACACAGGAAGCTAAAGTAAGATGATCTCAATGGAAAAAGTACGGTTTCTTCAACAAATGATTTTGGAAGCACTGAATATCCACATCAAAAGAATTCAGAGATGTTGACTTCGCCCATACAAAAAAATTAGCAACAACAAACCAAATAGGTAGAAGACATAAGACAATAAAACTCCTAAAATACAGGAAAGAATACTACTACAGTGGGATGGATAGCTTCTTGGCTATGACACCTAATAAAAACTATTAAAAGCAAAAACAGTAAGAATCATTATGTGAGACATTAAACTTCTCTGAAAAAAATTTAGCTGGCATAGTGGTACTCCTTTAATCCCAGCCTGGGATCTCTTGAGTTTGAGGCAGCCTGGGCTACAAACCAAGTTCCAAGACAGCCAGGACTACACAGACACTCTGTCTCAAAACAGAAACTTAAGACACAGCAGAGTAGAAAGGCAGCCCATGGGATAGGATATCTTAGCACACCTCTCTTAGCACCTCTCAGTTACCTCCTGGATCCCAAAATGTCAATCAACATTATAAGACAACAAGCTAGAAACAGGAGGAAAAATTGTTTTTCTTTTGAAAAGGAAAAAAGTCTTCTGATTAAACACACACACACACACACACACACACAAAACCAATGAGGCAACTATTGACTAGCATGCATGAGGTCTTAAACTCAACCCCCAAAGGTAGCAAAACAAAACAAACAGTCTGAAAATACAGACACACCAGCATTAAATTTCAGTCTTTTTCAAGTTGTTTCTTACTCTATCATAAAAACAACATTACCAACAAATTCTCTAATCACTTACTACCAGATGCATCCTTACCTGGCTCAGGGAGCTTGGTCTGTGGTGTCAAATTGGGAATTCCTGTCTCTTTTTCCCCATCACCCATGCTAACACTGGATTTATCACAAACATTTAGGCGTGGCCCAACTGAATCCGAGTGGCCAACATGATTGGGATCTGCTGCTGAGTCCTCAAGTATGCTTGTAGGAGGAGCTCGTGGTTCCAAATAGTCATCCCGCCCCTTCGGCACAGAGTCACCAGGAAGCAAGGCTCCAAAGGCACCCTCAGAGTTTTCTTTCTCCCTAAATCTATTAGTGCGTTTTCCAGGCTTAGGGCGCCTTTGGTTTAATCGCTGCCACCGCTTTTTAGGCACCACTTGATTAACACCATGGGGTCCATCATTCTCACCCTTCATTTCAGACTCCAGCTCTGGGCCTTTCCTGTTCTCAGAAGAAGGGTCTTTTTCAAGAACTTTATCAGGGTCGGATTGTTTAACCTGGCTATCAAAATGTACATCAGAAAAATGGCCATCTTCCTTTCTTAAATGGCCCATCTGCTGAAGAGGCTCTTCTTTACCAGGATCCTCAGCCCCACCCCTTGATGGGCCATTCACTAAACTTGCACTTTCTTTGTCTCCCAGCAGGTTAGCGCCAATGCTCACGGCTGGAGGTCGATTCAACTTTCTTTTCCGCTGGGTCTTTAAGGTTTTTGGGTTTATTGGGGGTTTTGCCATCTGGGCTGAAACTGCTTCTCTCAATTTGGACGATGGCTTTGCTCGGCCACAGCTGCGCCTTGGAATACAGTTTGTGCGACTTCTACCACAAGCAGGGTCTCTTTTGTCAGAAGCTAAGCCAGGCAAAGAAGACAATTCTCCAGACAAGGCAGAGTCACCCTCACTAGAATTCAGTCGGACAGCATCTTGAGTACTATCTCCAGTTTTTTCAGAATTGTGTGTGGAACCTCCTAACAGCAAAACCTTTGATGTCCCTACAGGGCTACTAGTAGAACAGTCCCCACGATCTGGAGTACGGTAGGAAGCCAGATTTTGAGCAGTCATCAACCGTTGCTCCTTAGTCTTACTATCGTGCATGTCTTTCAGCATCATTAGCAATGTACTAAATTTGTAGTCTGGTTCAATAGGTATATGATTCTGACTAGAAGCAGAAGAAAACAGTAATGGCTTTGATGACTTTGATGTTCCAGAGTCGCTGACATCCTCACTTAACGATCTGTAGGAGAGTTCCTTCAACTCTGACAGAACATGTTTCACCACCGCTGTTTCTATGTCATTTGAATCTCTGGTTTTCTCATGCATATTATTCAGTAGTTTTAGGCCCTCTACTTTCCCACTTTTGGATATGCTGGCCAAAGGAGAGCCTTTGGTATCAGAAGAACAACATTTCAAGTTGAGGTCCTCATTTGTAGCCGAGGATTCTGCATCAGCTGGGTTTTCTTTATGCTTGCATTTTATACTGCGGAACTTGGGCTGTCTGCTTTTTAAAGGTAACAGAGTTTGATTTAGAGCCCCACCCTTTGTCAAGGAGTTATCACTACAAATGCTTGGTGATGCACTGAATTTTGGAGTAAGACTGTCATTTCTAAATTCTGGTTGGGGTTTAGGAACAGGAGTACAGACTTTAAGATCAGAACGATCAACCTGAGACATCTCAGCAGTTCCAGGTTCCACTGTCTTGGCAGAATCCATTAAGAGATCTGTATGTGAATTAGTGATAAGGGACTTCTGTTTTTCTTTTACTCTGTTTGTGGCAGGATATTTAGAATACTTTGTTTCATTTTTGTGCATGGGTAAAGCACTCTCTGTCCTATCAAAAGCATCTGTAATTTCTACGACACTGTTATCAAATTCTGGGTTGTGTTCTATAGGATCCAGATCACTGTTCCCATCATCAGAAGTGGTACATACACTAATAGAATCAGTTCGCTTTTCCTCATCACCAGCTCCAATATAGCAGAGCTGTACTTTTGAGCTGCACACCAGGCCTGGCTGGAGTTTCTTTTTCTCGACACAATGCTTAGAGATCAAAGCACTCTCAGACAAACCTGATAAAGAATCACAATTTGAAGTCTCAAAATCTGCCTTATCAGTGCTCTGCACACATGAAGAAAGGAGGAAATTTCCTGGTGCAGTTTTAGACCCTGTGAGGCTGTTTGCTATCCTGGAAAGTTCATTTGAAGCCTGTTTATCAGACACACTACCAGAGATGAAGTTTAGGCCAAGGTTCTCTGGAATTTTTCCCCTCCGTTCCTCTTTATGTGCTTCAAATGACAGGAGGCCCTTTTTCACACTAGTCCTTTTTATATTTTCAGAGCTTTTTCTAGCTCGAGACTTGTCACAGGGCTTTTCCTTTTCATCTGCAGAATGTTCAGAATCAAAAGCCAGAGACTTCAGGCAGCCATTAAGCAACAGGTCATGTTCTGATTCAGGGTCATTTGTACAGTCCTCAAATAGCATAGCTTCTTCACGGTCCAACTTGATTGAACTGGTGACACATTTTTGGTTCTTAGATCCTTTGGGAACATCATATTGCTCAGCAAGACCAACGCTGGCTTCCCATTTGCTCAAAATTTTCTGAGGAACCTTAAAAGAAAAATAAGAATATCAATAATTCCAAAAAGAAAGAGGGAAGGAAAAACAGGGAGATAATAAGCATTTTAAATCATAAGCAATCTAGAACCTGTCTTTCAGGGTTTTTTGTTGTTGTTTTTGTTCTTTTTTCATCCTTGAATCTCTGTAATATTATTTGGCAAAGTTCTACCTAACAGTTACTATTCACAAATAATTAATACTTGGAATGCTCCCCAACGCATAAAACATAAGGTCACTGGACAGGTAGCTTCCTCCTATAATGGACTACACTGACCATTTCACCAGTTTCAGACATGACCACACATATATCTGTGCTTATGTTAGTGATCGAAGTAAATCAGGTTTCCAAAACAGGAAACCCCGAGTGAATTCTTCTAAAGATAGCTAAAATAAATCTACACAGCTAGAACTCAACACAAAACCTGATCTCTTCCCACAGCTGCCATGCAGGGGGGGAACAGTGACAATGGCAAAAAGCAGTTAAACTTGCATCCTAACAACTGCATACACAAATATTTTGAGAAGATAACCTTATATTAAGTATTTTATAATTCTAAACATTAGAATACTTATAAAGTACAAGTTGCTATAGCATCTTAAGAGATGAAGACAACTAGGCAGTGGTGGCACACAGCTTTAATCTCAGCACTCAGGAGGCAGAAGCAGGTGGATCTCTGTGAGTCTGAGACCAACATGGTCTACAGAGCAAGTTCCAGGACAGCCAGGGCTACACAGAGAAACCTTGACTCGAAGAAAAAAAAAAAAAACACAACAATAAACAAAAACCACCACCTTTTGGGTTGGGTTTAGTGGCATGCCTCTAATCCTAGCATTCCAAGGCAAAGGCAGGTAGATCAGAGTATAAAGCCAATCTGGTCTACATATTGACTCAGCAATTTCAGGACAGTAAGATAAACCTAGTGTGGTGTCACATGCCTGTGTTCTGAGCATTCTTGAAGACTGTGTGGCAAGAGACCTGCCAAGTCTGAGACCTACCTGGGCAACGAAAAAAAACAAAACAAACAAAATAACCTCTACACACACAGACAAAGAGAAATGCTCACGATTAAAATATAGGTAGGTATGAAACTACAAAATTGAAAACTGGCAAAGAATAAAACTACTAAAAAGCTTTATCAAAGCTGGATACTATGGTAATATTTCTCTAACTTCAGCACCTGAAGAGCCAAGGCAGGAAAGCCTGAGGTGAAGAATAAGAACCTATCTCAAATAAACAAATATAAAATCATTTCTCATTTTTAAGAGAAATAATTAGTATTCAGGGCAATTAGAATATTTCATTTTTATTTTCTTGTCCAGCCCTACGGAATAAATCAAAGAATGTATGTTTAGTAGGCAAGAGCTGTCCCAATGAGTAAGATCTTTAGCTCTAATTCTAATGACCATTTTCTACTTTTATAAAAGATAGCCAAAAAAGGTAGATAGAATCACTTCTCAAAAAACTCGGCATAGCCGGGCGATGGTGGCGCACGCCTTTAATCCCAGCACTCGGGAGGCAGAGGCAGGCGGATCTCTGTGAGTTCGAGACCAGCCTGGTCTACAAGAGCTAGTTCCAGGACAGGCTCCAAAACCACAGAGAAACCCTGTCTCGAAAAACCAAAAAAAAAAAAAAAAAAAAAAAAAAAAAAAAAAAAAAAAAAACAAAACTCGGCATAAAGTTGTATGAAACTAGCCACAGCTGATCCCTACAAAATATTTGACTTTCTAACGTTCTTCAGATAGCCTACTAACCAAAGGTAATAGGATAGATCAAATCTATATAATGCTGTTTCTTCCATAAGAAGATAATTTCTGAGAGGTCCTTTTGTTTAGATTGTCTTTACCTTATGCCTATATCCTTTTTCTTTCTGTTTCCCTCTTCTCCTAAGGACAGGTAGTTCTTCAAATTGATGCCTGCCTTCAAACATGACGATTGCTTTTCCAGCCACCCAGGCTTTTTCAGTAGGATCTCCAAAAGCCTCCACGTAGTATTCTCGATAGGGCCTCCTATTGGCGACTAGATGAGGACAAAAAAGAAAGTGTCATTACTTCAAAGATACTCAATGTCAAGATAACAGCCAAACCTCCTACTGCCATAGGAGCCTCTGGGACATTCAGATTGCTCAGCAGGTAAAGACACTTGGCACCAAACCTTACAAATTGAGTTCAACTTGAGTTTGGTCTCTAGAAAGCACAGGATTAAAGAGCACTGAGTCCTGCAAGGAGTTAGAGCATTTGTTGAGTATGTAAGGCCCAAATATATATCCAAACCACGCTGAGTGGCTAGAGAGACGGCTCAGCTGGTCCAGAGGACCTAAGTTCAATTCTTAGCACCCAGATCAGGCAGCTCACAATCTCCTTTAATTCCAGTTTCAGGGAATCCAACACCCTCTTCTGCCTTCAGTGAGCCTCCTCAAACACACATATGCACAAAAGAATTTTTGAGATGACTAAACATAGTTCAGCAGTTAAAAGCTGTGCAGCTCTTGAAGAGGATCCCAGCACTCAAACCTGGTTACTCCCAATTGCCTACAACTCCATCTCTGAGGAACCCAATGCTCTGATCTCCACAGACCTGGACACTCATTACCCCACCACCACCACCACCACACACACACAAACATATAATTAAAATAAATCTCAAAAAAAAAAAACCCTTAAAATAAAAAAGAAAAACCATGTTGATTCCAGAACTGGAAACATGGCTCAGCCATTAAGAACACTGGCTGTTCTTCCAGAGGACTAAGATTTGGTTTATAGCATCCATGTGGTGGCTAACAACTATATCCCAAGTTTCAGGGGATCTGATACCCTTTTCTGGCTTCCACATAAAAAATACATCATAAAAAAAAAATAGGTAGGCCAGGCACATAGTGCATACCTTTAATCTCAGTACTTGGGGAGTAGAAACTGGTCAATCTCTGTTGAGTTAGAAGCCAGCCTGGTTTACAGAGCCTGTATCAAGTCAGCCAGGACTACAAAGTAAGACCTCATCTCAAAAACAACAAAATGAAAACCATGATGAACAAAGATGAAAAGAGTGGGTTAAATCTAAAAATGAATGATAAATAGCCCTGATTGAGGACGTGGCTCAGTTGGCAAAGCTTATGCTTCATGTATGTATCCCTGAATTCAATCCCCAGGACCACACACACACACACACACACACACACACACACACACACTGGGGGGATGGACAGACACAGAGCGACTGGGACATAACTTCGGTACAGTTAGTTTAGTAGTTCTTCAATTCCCAATACCACATACTTCCAGCACTTGGAAGGTAAAGACACACAAGTGCCACAAGTTCAAAACCATTCTGGACGCGAAACAAAAAAACAGCAAGTCAGAGAGATAAGCACCTAAGTCAAGTCGGCTTACCTGAGTTCAATCCTCAGGACCTATGTGATAGAAAGAAGTTCCCACAGCTGTCCTATGACAGCCACACACACTGTACACACAGTGGTACACAATCTCTTACTAAAAGATCTTTTCCCTGAGGTAAGGTCTTCCTAGGCTAGTCTTAAACTCAGTTTCCCCTGCCTTGGCATAAACAAAAGTGTTAGAATTCCTCAGAAGCCTACAACACCAGCATCCACATCCAGCACTAACTCCCAACTTCTACAGAGAGAACAATGACTGAAATAATTCAAACCACAAGAAGGTGGTGGCACATGCCTTCTGCACTAGAGCAGCGGATAGGCAGGTCTCTGTGAGCTCAAGATTAGCCTGGTCTATAGAGTGACAGCCAGAAATACAAAGTGAAATCGTCTCAGAAAAAAGAAAGACCTTATTTAAAACTAAGTCTGGGCTAAACTAAAACTAAAACTGGGCTGGGTTTGTGCTCTTGGGAGACAAAGGTAAGCAGATCTCTTTAAGTGTAAAGCCAGCTTGGTCTATAGAAGACTTGCAGGCTAGCCAGAGCTACAGTGAGAATCTGTCTCAAAGAAAAAGAAGAAAAAAAAATTTTTTTTTTAAATCCACCTAAATCAAGGTTAGTGATATCTGCCTGTAATCCAGAATTCACAGTAATCCAAACTACACAGAAATTCTGAGCTCAGTCTTGGCTACAAGATACTGTATCAAAAACAAGAGATGGCTCAGAGGTTAAGAGCACATACTGCTCCTGCAGGGAACTCAAGTTCAGTTCCCAGCACTCACTCTGCAAGCCCAGCAGCCACCTGGAATTCTAGTTGCAGAACTCTGCCTTTCTTTCTCACCCTCTGGCCCCACCAGTACTGGTGTTAGAGAAGTTAGCACAGTGCCTAGACTTCTCTGGGTACTGAGGATTAAACTTCAGTCCTCCTGCTTTGAAAGGAAAGCACTTTACTTTCCATCCCCAGTCCCAAAATCTGTGTTTTCTAACACAATTTGAAATACTTACCCTAGGCCGGATGGTGGTGGCACACACCTTTAATCACAGCACTCGGGAGGCAGAGGCAGGTGGATCTCTGTGAGTTCGAGGCCAGCCTGGTCTACAGAGCGAACTAGCTCCAGGACAGGCTCCAAAACTACAGAGAAACCCTGTCTCAAAAACCAAACACAAAAAAACAAAAACAAAAAAATACTTACTCTAAGGGGGAAGAAAGAAAAATCACTGTTTTTATATATTGCACTTACACTACACTGTAATTTTTATACATCAACTAAGAACTGGCATAACTCTAACTGCTAAATCTAAGTATATAGTTTCATTATACTTAAATTTCCAGTAGGTTTGAAATTTTTCAAAGAAAAGTTGAAGGAAAGAACTGTACTGCTATGAATAGGGGTTGGCAAGCTAGCTCAAGCAGGTAAAGCACTTGTGGTCAAAACTAGCCACCTGAATTCAATCACTAAGAAACATAGTGACACCCCCAAGTCCTCTGACCTCCACACATGCCCCATGACATGTGTACCTAATACATGTGCATACATGAATACACACACATAATTGTAAAATTAAGTACTGCAACATCTCTTATGGGCTACTGGACAATGGTGGTAACATAAACAGTAAGCACACACAGGAAAAATGGAGCCATCACTGCAAATGTTCATTCAGTAAGGTCTTTTGAACTCAACTGATTATGGCTTGTCATGAACTACAAAAACAAGAAAACAAAACTGAAAATATAGAAATCTGGAAAAAGAAACAAGAACTAACTAGCCATGAGTTCACTTTTCTAAAATACAACAGAGGTCTCAGAAAGTACTTTTTTGGGGGGTAGGGGTGTTTCGAGACAGGATTTCTCTGCTTAACAGTCCTGGCTGTTCTGAAACTTGCTGTGTAGACCAAGCTGGCCTCAAACTCAGAGATCCACCTGCCTCTGTCTCCCAAGTACTGGGATTAAAGGCATGTGCTACGCTGCTGCCCAGCTAGAAAGTATGGCTTTAAAGAGTTTTAACTTTTATACCCCTTCCCCCAATTCCCACCCATGGTTTCTTTCTGCCAGTAAACAAGCATGCTCTTGGTTCTGATCAGAACTTTTTGTTGTTATTTTGTTTTATTTGAGGTAGGATCTCAGACAGACCAGACTGTCCTGAAACTTAGTGCGTAATCAGGGATGGTCCTGAACTTCTGATCCCCGCCTTCTAACCCCTAAGTACAGACTCGTGCCATTTACTCAGGACTGAGGAGTATCCTGACTGCTTCACTCATGCTAGGCGAGAACTCTACAAACTTGAGCACTACGGGCCCATAGAGTGAATTTTTAAAAATTATTTACAGAACATTTATTAGTTTTCATAGTGAAACACACAGGTAAGACCTTACAGCCCTTTACCCTATGAGTGGAAAATAACTAATTTTAACATTTCTAGACCAATATAAGATGCTAATTTCAGTATAACACCAACACAACACTTAAGAGTGAACTTCTGTTTTGTTTTGAGACAAACTTTAAAAACTCTGTAATTTTGGAACCTGTAATTTTGGAATCCTGGAACTAGCTCTTGTAGACCAGGCTGGCCTTGAACTCACAAAGAACCACCTACCTATGCCTCCCAAATGCTGGGATTAAAGGTGTATGTCACCACTGCCCAGTTTAGAGTGGAACTTCTTAAAAAGTTTTTAAAAACACTATCAAACTGACCCTCTTCAATGGCAGCACATTCATCCTAGAATATTACACAGAACTTTTTTATCAACATTACAGGCACTGAATGATTTGCTACCTTCAACCTCTCAGGAGCAAAAAACATGCCGCTTTCTGTTCCTAAAGCAAATCACTTCCACCCTAAGTAGTTCTAATGTAATCTCCCAATGATCACAAAGTAAGAGAGGTTTACTGTGATTGTCTAGTATGTGAAAGGTCCAAGGGTAAGTTCCCAATACCACCAAAAATACCAACCTAAAAAGGAAAGCACTGGGGCTTGAGAGAAGCCTCAGTATTTAAGAGCACCAACTGCCATGCAAGAGGATTCAATCGCCAGCAGGGGCCAACATCCATTTGTAACTACAGTTCCATGGGATCCTACCCTCTCTTGGGGCTGGAGAGATGATGGTTCAGGGGTTAAGAGCACTGCTCTTCCAGAGGACCAGGGTTCAAGTCCCACTACCGACATGGCAGTTCGCAACTATCTGTAGTTCTAGTTCCAAGGGATCTGACACCCTCATACAGACATGTAGGCAGATAAAACACTAATGCACATAAAATAAAAAGAAATTATTAAAAAAAAAAAATCCTGGGCTGGAGAGATGGCTCAGTGGTTAAGAGCATTGCCTGCTCTTCCAGAGGTCCTGAGTTCAATTCCCAGCAACCACATGGTGGCTCACAACCATCTGTAAAGGGGTCTGGTGCCGTCTTCCGGCCTGCAGGCATACACACAGACAGAATATTGTATACATAATAAATAAATAAAAAATATTAAAAAAAAAAAAAAAAAAATCCTACCCCCTCTTCTGGCCTCAATGAGCACTTCAGCACGCATGCTGCAAAGACAAACAAGCAGGCAAAACACTCATATACATAAAATAATAAAATTCTGAAGGCTAAAGAGATGGCTTATAGGTTAAGAGCACTTCTTAAGTTTTGAAGACGACACAGGTTAGGTTCCCAGCACCTACACGTAGGCTCACAACCACCTAAACTCCAGTCCCAAGGAATCTAACACCCTCTTCTAAACACTGTGAGCATCAGGGCCCAAGTGATGTGCATACATACATATAAGAAAAATGTTCATACATATCAAACAAACAAACAAACTAATATAAAATCTTTCCAAAAAAACTGAAAAAGCAAGCACTAGAGGACTGGAGAGATAACTCAGTGGTTAACAGCACTGGTTGCTCTTTCAGGATTCAGGTTCAATTCCCAGTACCTACATAACAGCTCACAACTATGACCCCAGTTCCAGGGGATCCAACACTATTTAACAGACATACATCTAGCCAAAGGCCAAAGAATATAAAATACCCATAAATAAATCCTTTTTCAAAAGGGGCAAGCACTATAAGCAAAAATGCCCAGAATACTTCTTTTTTTCTACTTAAAATAATCCTTTTCTTAAAATTTTAGATACTAATCCCAGTTCGTTCTCCTTCCCCTCCTCCCACTTCCCCTTACCTTCCCTCCACCCCATTCCCCATCCACTCAGAGAGGGTGAAGCCTCCCATGGGGAAGTCAACAAAGTCTGTCATATCATCTTGAGGCAGAACCAAGGCCCTCCCCACTGTGTCTAGACTGAGCAAGGCATCCCTCCATAGGGAATAGGCTCCAAAAAGCCATTTCATGCACCAGGGATAAATAATGGTTCCACTGTCAGTGGCCAGAATGTTCCTGTATCAAAAGTTGATGACCCTGTTCGTATCACTGATTATAAGCCAACACTGTTTGTTTGGTATAATTCTCAGGAAATTATCTGTTTAATTATTAGCTGGCAGCTTCTCTCTTTTACTGGACTCTTAATTTCCCATAAGGATAATCAAAACGATCATTTTGTCAACTGTACCAGCATAGGACTCAACTTATATGATATAAATAGTATTTGAAAAATAAACAGCAGGGGCCCAATTAGCATACACAAAGAGAACTAAAATGAGTAAGAAACCAAAACTTAATCCCAGCACTCAAGGAATGTGATAACTAGTTTTATATCAACCTGACATGGGCTAGAGCCATATGGGAAAAGGAAACCTCAATTGAGAAAATGCCTCACTGGCACTGTAGGTAAGCCTGTGGTGCATTTTCTTGATTGATCATCAGTGTGGGAGGGACCAGCTCACTGAGCATGGTGCCATCTCTGGGAGGATGGTCCTGGGTGATGAGAGAAAGTTGACTAAGAAGTTAGTAAGAACACTGCTCCATGGTTTCTGGTTGTTCCTGTCTCAGGTGTTTGCCATGAATTCCTCAGTGACAAACATTTGTTACTTGAAAATGTAAAATGAAATACCCACACATCCCCACAGTGTTTAATCGCAGTACTAAAAACTCTAATAAAAGAAGAAGACAGATGCTAACAGATCTCTGTGAGTTAGAGGTCAGCCTAGACTACATAACATGTTGAGCATGGTGGTATACGCCTTTAATCCCAGCACTCAGGAGGAAGAGGCAGGTGGATCTCTCTGAGTTTGAGGCTAGATTGGTCTACAAAACAAGAACAGACAGGGCTATTTCACACAGAAGCCCTCTCTAGAAAAACCAAAAAGAAAGAAAGCAAAACTCTACAATGCAAGTAGAGTAACAGAAAAAACAACTCCAGTGCTGGCGAGCAGCTCTGCCATTAGGAGGACTTGCTGCTCTAACAGAGAACTTGAGTCTGACTCCCAGCACCACATGGTAGCTTACATGTGGTTAGTCATGAATCCAGGTCCCAAGGATCCAGTGCCCTCTTCTGGCCTCCATAGGTACTGGGAATAAACATGGTACAAAACACATAAGAGGAAAATAAAAATAAACCCTATAAAAAAATAAAAAAATAAATAAAAACAAGCAAACAAAAAACCCTGTAGGGGCGGGCTGGGCTGCAGAGATGACTGCTCTTCAAGAGAATATAGGTTTAATTCCCAGCACCCACATCGGTTAACCACTGTCTCTTAACACCAGATCCAGGAATTCCAACCCCTTGCATACATACATTTTGGGGGTTGGAAGTGGGTGGGGACATATTTGTTGTTCTTTGGGACAGTGTAATTCTGCAACAGAAGCAAGATAGTCACTAGTTTGAAGTCAAACTGGTCTACACAGCAAGTTCCAGACCAAGAATACATAACATCCTAGTCTTTTCAAAATATAAAAATAGGCATCTGCAGAGATGGCTAAACCATAAAGAGCACTTACAGCTCTTCTAGTACCAGAGTTTGAGCCCCAGAACCTACGGCTCACAAATGCCTGTAACTCCGGCTCAAGGATACAACGCCGCTGACCTTGAGTACTTGCCCTCACTTACACATACATAACTACAAATTATAAAAATAAGTAAGTAAATCAAATTTTAGACTTTGGCTTTAAGGAAAAATATCTGAGATAAACCAAGTGTGGTAGTTTGAATGTAATTGGCCCCCATAAGCTCAGAGGGAGTTTAGGAGGTGTGGCCTTGTCACTGTAAGGATGGGCTTTGCGGTCTCCTATGCTCAGGTTACACCTAGTTCAGTTCAATTCCTGTTGCCTTCAGATAAAGATGTATAACTCTCAGTTCCTTCTCCAGCACCATGTCTGCCTGCATGTTGCCATGTCCCGCCATGATGATAATGAACTAAACCTCTGAAACTCTAAGCCACCCAATTAAATGTTTTCCTTTATAAAAAATACCATGGTCATGAAGTCTCTTCACAGAAATAGAGACCCTGAGACACCAAGTAAGAAAAACAAATTGCAATAATCAAAGAAAAATATTCCAAATCAAGATTCTGTCACACTTGTTGAGGCAGAGTCTCATGTACCCCAATATTGGCCTCAAGCTCACTGTGCAGACAAGGAAAAGATAGAAATCCTTAGTCTCCTGCTTCCAATCCCCTAAAAGTCAGCAATTCTCAACCTATGGTTTATGACCCCTTTTGGGGTTGAATGACCCCTTTCACCGTCCCGGGCTAGATCATAACACCACATAAACTAGGTGGCACACACCTATATAATGCTCATGGAAGACAGAGGAAGATCAGATGATCAGTTCAAAGTCACCCTCGGATACATGAAATCCCATCTCCAACAAGTAAGAAGAGTGTAAAGGGGCTGGGAATATATTTTAATTGGTAAAGCTAAATTGCCATTTCCATTTTCCATTCTATACATACAGAATAGCTGAGAACTTTTATTTAAAACATAGTCTCAGGGCTGGATGAAGATGGCTCAGCAGATAAAGAGCACTGACTGCTCTTTCAAAGGTCCTGAGTTTAATTCCCAGCAACCACATGGTGGCTCAAATGAGATCTGATGACTTTTCTGTATACAGAATGCTGTATACATAGTAACAAAAAGAACAACAACAAACCATAGTCTCATTATATAGTTGTCCTCAAATTCATGATTCCTGCCTCAATCTTTAAAACCATGAGATTAACAGGCAAGTACCAAACATGCCTAGTGTAACAACTTTTAAATCTCAGAGTGCATAAACTAAAAAAAAAAAAAAAAACTAAAGAGGAAATTTGTTAACAATTCATAACAATGAATTATTTATTGCTAAAGTAACAAAACTCCTGAATTACACTGAAAGCAACTGCAAACCTATGATTACACATTGCATTTTATCACAAATTGTCAGCTATAAATGATTACCTTTCATTTTTGAGTGTGTATTAATCAATGGATCAGCACAAATCCTGCAGGGCCACCATGGGCGTCTCTTGAATTTTGCCCAAATGAGATCTCCAACTTCATATTTCAGTGGTGTAGACCTTTTCTTCGGTTGACACTTTAGACAGACAAAACATGGGGAATCAGTAAGAATACCATCCAACTAGAACTCTGAAAAGCCAATGCCTAAAAAATACAAAAGGAAAACGCAGCCAGGCCTAGCAAGATGGCTCCATGGCACCTGCCACAAAGTCAGACAACTTTAATTTGATCCCTGGAACTCAATGCAAAGAACAAACCCTCATAATATTACCCTCTCCAAATTAGCTATGTGGCACACAGCACCCACTCACATCCACAATAAATATTTCTAATGTTGATAGATTAAAAATCCAACACAAATTAGCCTGACTTAATTGTTCACAGTATAGTCTTTTAGAGTAATTTTCAATTAATATTTTACATTCTCATTACTATTCATAACAAAAAAAGATCCTAAAAGTACACAGAATATGGTGGTAAAAGTCTTTTAACTCTAGTATTTGGGAGGCAGAGGCAAGCATAGATCTCTGGAAGTTCAAGGTCAGCCTGGTCCACATAGTTCCAGATAGCTAGGACTACATAGTGAGATCCAGTCTCAAACAAAACAAAATCAAATCCTAGAAGTATAGGTCATAGCCATACTACTATACTCATGCCAATGCACCCAACCCTAAATTATCCCCATGATATACAAGGAAGATATACTAAATACTACACAGTACAACTCAGAACAACATTCAAATAGAATATAGTATAAATATAAATGAAGCTCTTAGGAACCGTTTACCGCAGAAGCCCAGGCCATATCCTTTCTCCAAAAATAACATGCTTGATTGACCTGGTATCTAACTGACCCATCCCAGCTCCCTGGTCCACGTTTCTAAACAGCACAAACTTCCTGCCTTCAGAGGAAATATTTTTTCCACAGGTCTGTGCTTTTATAATCTAGGAAAATACAAATATATATATTTTATTAAATTAAAATTTACATTTATGTATATATAAAAATGTATACATCTTGTATAATACAAAAACACACCAAGTATTTTGCAGAGGCCAAAGTACCTAGGCTACAAGGACTAAGAGCAACCTCCTCTGCCTCGGCTTAAGTCAAGAAGACACAAAACAAAACAGTATCACTTTGCCCTAAGGGCCATGTCTTTCAAAATGCGCTTAGAGAGCTCAACTGTCAGACTGCATTTTACTTCCTCCATGCCTGAAACTACCCCACATGGCGCTCCAGTGGTCAAGAAAGGACTCAATGAAATAATTCAAGTGGGGAATAATGCCCCTACTCAAAAGATACCAAAGGATGTGGCTCAGTCCAATACGTAAATTATCTCTAAACCTTAAGATTGCTTTCACATGGGGCTGGAACGGAAGCTCAATTAGGAGCATGCATACTCTTCCAGGACGGTGGTTTCATTGCCAACATACAGGGTAGCTTACAATCATCTGTAATTCTAGCTCCAGGGGCTTCAATGCTCTCTTCTGGTCCATGCTACCACCAAACAAACTGGTACACAGACAAACATGTGGAAAAACCCCCATAAACATTAAAAAAAACAAAAAACAAACTAAGACTTCTTTCACACGAAGTATGTAAAATAGAATGACCTAGGATGCTTCTAAATACTCAAGTATGTAAGTAAAATTCAAGTGAAAATAATACACTTACTTTTCCATCTTTATAGTCACCCAGGAGTTAGGAAAGAAATATAGCATTTCCTTTTTAAAAGCCCTCGAGAATCATTTTGCCAATCAAATAAGAAAGACTGTAACGTTAAAATTTGTTGATTGAAATTTCAAAGCCTGAATGAAAACCTGTATGGTAGCAGAGGCTTTTAATCCCAACACTCAGGAGACAAGAGGCAGGCAGATCCTGTGAGTTTAAGGTCACATGGTCCACAGAGCTAGTTCCAGGTCAGCCAGGGCTACAGAAAGAAACTCTTGGGAGGTAGGGGAGGAAGCAAAAAAAAGAAAAGAAAGAATACTTTGCCAATCATTGATAAATATTATTCAAGTCATAAATCTAAGTAATGTATATTCAGTATTTCTGATGTGTCAAGGGCAATAATCCTCCTTGGATTCTCATAAGACATATATTTTTACACGTATTTACTATATGCCTAATAGTAATAGTTGTTTAGTAAAAGGCAGAGCCAGGATTCAAAGTTGGCTAGCACAACTGAAGCTCAAACTATTAATGACTGTATTCATCATCCACTGAGTAAAACCTTAGTTACTTTAACTACTTATGATAAATCTAACCGTAACTGAAGACATCGAATTGGTTCTACCTTCTTTTTATATACCAATTACAAATCGATTACATTGCATTATCAGACACAATGCCAAAAAATAAACGTGCTAAGTTGTGAAGGAAATGCAAATCAAAATCACCAGCAAAATAACAAGTATTGATGAAGAAAAGTATGATGGTGACTTTAGTACAGCCCTGTTAAGAGATCAAAAGATCCAGGCTGGAGAAATGGTTCAGAATACAGAGAACCCAGGTTTGGTTCCCAGCACCCACATCCATTAATTCCAGTTCCAGGGGATCTGACACCCTCTTCTGACCTCAGGGAGCACCTGGCATTCACAGAGTAAAGATGCATGCATGTGGGCAAAATTCATGTGCATAAAATAAATCTAAACAAAAAAACTTTCTAAGAAATTAAAATATTTAAGATAACATGATAACCACATATCCCAGTAATTCTACTCATAGATATACTAAAGACTAATGGATACATACCCAGGGCTTGAGGGTGTATAGTTCAGTGGTAGAGTACTTGCCTATCATCTCCTAACCTCATGAGGAAGCTTATTAAATAGCAAATGCTGACCAATTATTCCTCCACCACCCAACTGCACATCAAACTAAAGACTCTCTGTGTCTGAGGTAGAACTCTTAGTAAATTAGCTACTTTTTCTTAAAGCACCAGAGATCTGCCAAGATTGAAAAAAAATTCATCCCATAGTTAACCAGTACTTGTTTTTTGAGTCCTGAGGCTTGGGGATGGAGGGACCACAAAAAAAGATAATCTATGATAGTACAAAAGTCTCACCAGCATGTGATAACTGACTCCATATAATTTCAGTGTTGCTTTATCTCACATAGCAAAATGAATAAATAAAAATTCAAAAAATTATGCAAGCACTTATTAGAAACCTACAAACCAAAAGCTGCTAAAAATATTTGTTTTGTTTGCTTGTTGCTTTCAAGATAGAGTCTCATTGTGTAGCTTTGGAGCCTATCTTGGAACTCACTCGGTAGATCAGGCTGGCCTCAAACCACCACCACCTGGCTAAAAACATTCTTAACAGTAAAGGTGGTAGCAATTATGATTAAGCTGTTATAGATATCACAAACTACCAAACGCCAGGACTAAGGACAAATTAACACATGTGCTTTTTCTACTAGCTCAGAGCAGAAAGACATTAAAAGCAGTGTCAGCAAAACTGCAGTATCCTTAAGAATCAGAAGTGCATGCCTATAATCCCAGCACTCGGAAGGCAGAGGAAGGTGGGCGCACATCTGAGTTCTTCAAGGCCAGTCTGGTCTACAGAGTAAGTTCCAGAATAACCAGTGCTACAGAAAGAACACAGAAAAGCCAAAGAGAAAGAGAGAGAGAGAGAGAGAGAGAGAGAGAGAGAGAGAGAGAGACAGGAAACAGAACGACAAAAACAGAGAGGGAAACAAATCAGACAGGTCAGATAGCTTAGTGGCAGAGCCCTGCCTATTGTACACAAAATTCTGGGTTCAATCCCTAGGGGCTCCCAGCACCACAAATAGAAGTGCCACACACAGTGGCTCAGACCTCAAATCCTATAATACATGAAAAATGGGGCAAGAACATCACATGTTTAAGGATAGTCTGCAAACTAGATAGGTCAGCCTAAGCTCTACAGTAAGATTATCTCCAAAAACAAAACCTTGCAAGCACTTCTGGGGATCAAACCCAAGGCTTGCCACTGAGCAACATCCCAGCTCCAAAAAAATTATTAAACAGCTGTTGCTCATATAAATTAATCTCTGACTTATGTCTTAAAAACAACAAGTATTAGAACATCTGTCCTAGCGATTTTACTTATAGCCATTATTTTTTTGTCTCCTTTCCTCCCTCTGTTTTCCCCTTAAGAGACAAGATCTCACTACAATAGGCCAGGCCAGATCCAGAACTCATGATCCTCTTATACTAAGTACTATAATTAATTACAGGTATGTAACATGTCAAGCTTCTTTCTACTGTCTTAATATGCTTATTTTCCCATCCCTCTCAGATAATGGAAACAACCAGACCTGTGGCAGTCTATGGCTCTCTACAATACTAGGTATAAATGAATCCTTACTTACCACTGGCTAACTATAAATTCAAACAAGTTACTTAACTTACCTAAGTCAAGACAACCCTTTATTTATAAAATGAAAAAATGTGGCTGGGCAGTGGTGGCACATGCCTTTAATCCCAGCACTTGGGAGGCAGAGGCAGGCTGATTTCTGTCAGTTTGAGGACAGCTTGGTCTATAGAGCTAGTGCCAGGACAGGCTCCAAGGCTACACAGAGAAACCTTGTCTCAAAATAAAAAAAAAAAAAAAAAAAGAAACGAAAAAATTAAAAAATGTGAAGATCAGAAAAAAATATCACCAAGGCTAGAGAGATGGCCCAATGGTTAAGAGTGGTTGCTGCTCTTGCAGAGAACCCATTTAGTCTCCAAGCACCCACAACCACTTCAGCTCTTGACTGGCCTCCTTGGATAAGTACATACATATGCACATACTCACAGAATATAAACAAATAAATGAAATAATTAAAATACACCTAAAAAAATAAAAACGAAGGGAGGTGCTATGGTGTGGTTGATAGAAGTGATTCCCCAGGACACACACGATGAAAGGAAAGGAAACTCCCACAAGTTGTACTGTAACCTCCACGTGTGCCATGGGACAGGAACACCCTGCCCTCCACACCCGCATAAATAAATAAATGAATAAATGAATAAATGTAATAAATGTCTTTAAAATAAGACAGCAAGGTTTAGGAGCTGGTGGCGCATAACTTTAATCCCAACACCCAGAAGGGAAAGTGAAGACCAAGCAAGGCTACACAGTATCAGAAATGTATTCTGAAGATTGGCACAGAACAGGCAATGTGAGACTATCATTAGCCTAGAATGAAGTGGTGACTACCCTTGAAATTCACCAAAGCTCAAGATTCAAATAACCAGTACTCAACTCCCAGGCCTCTATAGCCTCTAGAGCTGTTCTGCACCACTTACAGCCTCAGCAAAAAAGAAAACAGTGAAAGTACCCATTCACAGAAAGAATCTGCTGTGTTCTGAATTTGTTGGATGGGCTGGCTGGCTGAGATAGGCTCTCATGCACCACATGCTAACCTTAAATTTCAACATATCACATAGCCAAAAATGAACTTGTTACAATCCTATGTTCATCTTCAAAGTACAGGGATTATGTACCAATTATGTAGGTACTATCACACCTGGTTTATGCAGTGGTGGGATGAAAGTTCAGGTTAGTGCAAGGCTTAGTACAAGTTAAGCAAGCAATGTACCTACTGAGCTCTAAAAGCCATGTGCTAGGGATTCTTTTATGACCCCAACTAAAACAAAGCTGTAAAACTTCACCTTCATTCACTCAAGCAACACTTACTAGGTCAGTCTAGACCTTGAGCTATGAATATGGGAGATACAATTTCTCTGTCAAATAACCAAGTCAAAGACCAGCAAGATTGCTCAGCAGTAAAGATGCCAGGCCTGACACACTCACTTCAATCCCCAGAACTCATACAGTGAAATGAGAAAACCAACTCCCGGGGCTGGAGAGATGGCTCAGCGGTTAAGAGCACTGCCTGCTCTTCCAAAGGTCCTGAGTTCGATTCCCAGCAACCACATGGTGGCTCACAACCATCTGTAATGATATCTGGCGCCCTCTTCTGGCCGCAGGCATACATGCAGACAGAATACTGAGAATACTGTACACATAATAATAATAAATAAATAAATCTTAAAAAAAAAAAAAAAGAAAACCGACTCCCACAAGTTGTTCTCTGACCTACATAAGAGCACCATGACAGATGCATACATTAAGTTAATCTTTTTAAGTTTAATTTCTTTAGGGCTCGGAGAGATGGTGCAAATAGTTAAGAGCAGTGGTTGCTCTTTCCAAGTACCCAATTTTGATTCCCAGTACC